TTGGGTGGATCACCTGAGCTCAGGAGTTCAAGATCAGCCGGGCCAGCACAGTGAAACCCCATCTCTACTAAAAATACAAAAAGTTAGCCAGGCGTGGTGTCAGGTGCTTGTAATCCCAGATACTTGGGAGGCCGAGGCAGGAGAATTGCTTGAACCCGCAGGTGGAGGTTCCAGTGAGCTGAGATCCTGCCATTGCACTCCAGCAAAACTCCATCTCAAAAAAAAAAAAAAAAGAAGAAGAAGACTGTCTGAGCATCTAATACCAATACCAAGGTGGAATAATGTGTCAAATTATTTCACCTAACAAACCAGCACAGTTTCTTGAATGAGGCAGGGATGGAGAGGAGAAAGCATGCCAGAATTAGCAAGTCCCCAGAATGATTTTAAAGCACATGGTTTATTTTAGCTAGTTTCTCAAATATACTGGTTCTGGAGCTACAGAGATTGCCATGTCACATATTTTGTGGAATTCATATATTATCTTTCTAAAAAAATTTATGCTTAGTCTTAGAATATACATATATTTCTGTTGTTAGTCTTAGGAAATAGTCATATTCCTAGTTATGTTTAGAATGTTTTTAATTTTATTCATCTTTAATTACATATTTAATCATTTAGTGAGATCATGGATTTGGTGTTCCTGGTACTTTAAAATGTCTAAGGATGTTCACAATTTTTACCTAATTTTCAGTGGTAGTGACATGCCAACAGTCCCAGGATATTGGTTCAATATCATTGAATCAGTTTGGATTCTAGAATAACACGTTATAAGCATGGAGGAATAGAAAGCACACATTTTTAGTAGTCCTAGCTAGAGCTGCTATAATTAACCAAGAAAATGTAAGAGAGCAGCTGTCAAGAAAGATGACATGAAATTGAGAGAATGGAGTCAAGAAAAATTTTTTTACATCCAAAGCAGGATCTATGTATTTCTTCTTTTGGAAACTACACATATAGGTGAATAAAACATGAAAATATTGTACATGCACTTCAGGAATTTAATTTAATTTCTTTAAGAGAGACCCATTCACCTAATACACTTAAGGAATTTAAAAGATTATTTGTGTCACCTCTGACATCCTATATGACTGTCAATTTTCTTAATCCTTCACATCTTCTAGTAAGAGAACATTATATCTTCTTACTTTCTTCTAATTAATACCATTGAGATAATACTTATATAAAACTATTTACATTTAAAATGTCTCTGAAAAATAAGAAGCAGTGATAATGTCATTTATTAAGGCAAAGGAAAAAATACAATAAATAAAAAATGAATGAAAAATGATTGCGAGGGTTTTAGAAATACACAATTTTTCACCTATGTAGGCATGTAGTTTATATCAACTATTAACCAATTGTTCATGATTTTAAAATGCCAAACATTAGAGTAGGATTAGATTGTGGAATTTACATGTTTAAACTGTAAGAAAGCACAGGATTGAGGTTGGAAATTTTACTGGAAAGAGTTGATTGTTTAGACTGTTGATTTAGGTATGTGAAAATGGGAAGAGGTCAGGTAATGGCTAAGTAGGAACTAGAATATAAAATGTAAACATAGAGTTCAGTTGAAAATAGTGGTCAACAGTAGTGGCAGTAAGTACCCCAGAATTCCTCAGCTTAAAACTAAGAAACAAATCAACAAAATCTTTTCTACTTTAACCACAAAGAGAGCAAAATGAACAAAGTACCCATTCATATAAGACAACTACCACAGAAACAAAAGGAATGTCTGAATTCAAACAAGGGCGTTTGATTTTGATTCTTGCCAGTGATCCAAGGCAAGTATATTCATAAAGTGAGGAAATAGAGTCCTAAGAGATCAATACCTGGAATTTCACTGTTAGAAAAATTTGCACAATTTCAGCAGAATGAATTGGTGAAGGCTACTCTATCACATAAATGCACTATTCCAATAGCATTTACAGTGCATGCTGTGTTCTGCATCTTAGGAAATCTGTTCATTGTTGATAGGGCTGACTGTCTATAAGGAATTATCACTGTGTAAAAGGAAAGAAACTTGCAGAGCAATTCAGTATCCGAGGAAAGACTGACAGCTTTGAAAGAGACCTGATAATGATGCATGTAGGAACTTGCATGTGCTTGAAATAAGCCCTGATTTAACAAAACAAAGACTATTTTGCACATACTTTGGAAACCCATATTCTTTGAGAACTTGGTTATGACGAGTTGAAATGGCCACTTGAACTAAATTCCCATGTTGAAATTTGTTTATCTTTCTTATCTGAAGCCAGAGCCAAAAATCCTAAAAGTTTTGAATGACGGTTTTGTGGTTCCAGGAATTTGGGCTCACCTATCTGCAGATACACCTGTTTCCTTTTTGGCTGTATTATATTAAGTAAAAGTGTTCTATTAAATGAATATAAAGTGGCCACTTCTATACTTTAGAATAAATACATTATTTGAGCCAGATGCAGTGGCTCATGTCTGTAATCCCAGCACTTTGGAATGTTGAGGAGGGAGGATTGCTTGTGGCCAGGAGTTCAAGAGCAGCCTGGGCAACAAAGCAAGACCCCACTTATAAAAAGAAATTAAAAATTACTCAGATGTGGTAGCATGTGCCTTGTAGTGCTAGCTACTTGGGAGGCTGAAGTGGGAAGATCCCTTGGGCCCAGGAATTCAGCATTGCAGTGAGCCATGATTGTACCACTGCACTATAGCCTGGGACTCAGAGAGAGAGCCTGTCTCTGTAAAAAATTAGTATAAATAAATAAAAGACTTTTTCTACGGAGATATTCTGCTGGTAAGTAGAGAAATAAAGCCTGGTAGTTGGATTTATTTTACATGTCATCAGTTACTCTGAGTACAATATTTTTGTTACAAGTTGTATTATTTATGTTTTTAATGACCTAATTCAATGTTAGCTATTACAAATAATAATCTTATTTTTGCCACTGTAGCATTTTAGCAGAGTTCAAAATACAACAGTTTCCACTTAAAAGATCTTTATAAGAGAAAAAAGATAACATGTTAAAATGATATAAAGTATGCAAACTTACAACTTCCCCCTCCTGTTGCAAGAGTCCCTCCTCCTATAACAAGAGTCTCTCCTCCTCCTGTTACAATAGCCCCCCTCCTCCTATTTCAATATTTTAAGTAATGTAATATTAATTTTAACAATCTGGCTGGCACGGTGGTTCATGCCTGTAATCCCAGCACTTTGGGAAGCCAAGGCGGGTGGATTAATTGAGATCAGGAGTTTAAGACCAGCCTGGCCAACATGATAAAATGCTATCTCTACTAAAAATAGAAAAATTAGACAGGTGTGGTGTCGGGTGCCTGTAATCCCAGCTACTCGAGAAGCTAAGGCAGGAGAATTGCTTGAACCCAGGATGCAGAGGTTGCAGTGAGCCAAGATCACAGCACAGCACTCCAGCCTGGGCGACAGAGTGTGACTCTGTCTCAAAATAATAATAATAAATAAATAAAAATGAAAATCTTATAATTCATTTAATATACTAAGAACTTTTTCCTTAATAATCTATACCTATCTTGATACACAGTTATTTAAAGCAAGGCTTAGCAAACTATACCCTGTGGGCCATATTTTTTTTAAGGCCAGCCAGCTACGATTGGGTTTTACAGATGAACCTTTGCAATCTATTTGGTGATAGAGAATGCTGACTTTGAACCCCAACTAAGCAAAGTGTTAACCCAAATAAAGGATTCCATTCTTGTCATTGGTAGATCTATGTTGCAAAAGATTACTGTATATCCAATTATTGTGCAAATAAAACTATACTGAATTATCACATTTTAAAATGTATAACAAAAATTTTGTGGAAATGTGCTTTTTCTTGTTAAAATGTACCTACATAATATCCTTGATTTTACTTCTCGGCATGTAAAACCTAAAACAGTTAATACTTGGCCCTTTGCAGAAAGAATGTGCTGACCCTTGGTGCAAAATATTTTATCCCATTCATTCATTTTTTTCAATTCACATGCACATACATTCATTAAATTGTTTCTGAGCAACTCTCATTTACCAGACACTGTTCTAGGCATTGGGGACATGACAAAGAGCAAGATTAAAAAAAAAAAATTGCTGCCCTCATGCAACTTGTATTCAAATTGTCTACATTATCACCTCACAACTTCCCTTCATGGGAGGTGCCATTATTCCCATTCTATAGACAGATAAAGTGAGATTCAGTGAATTTATGTAGCTGGCTTGGAGTCTTTCAGCGAGAATTGGACCAAGTTATGTTTGACTCCAAGGCTTGAGCTTCTAACCAATGGGTGGGTAGAACTGGATTCATGGGCTGGGCTCTATGCTTGATTTAATGCTCTACCATAACAATCTTGAAGTTCTTAATGGTTTTTGGACAAGATTTTGAACAATAAATATATTTTCATTTTGCATTACATTCCACAAATAATGTAGCTGGTACTGCCACTACCAAAAGTGGTTCTTCTCTCTCACACTACATTCCTCCTAGGGCTGTTTTATAAAACACCCACATGAATTTATCTGTCTAGAAGCCTTGAAATCTATCAAGCACTTTAAAAACAGAAGGTATTATTAAGCAATTGTTTTATATTCTAGTCCACCAAAGACTAGAAGTTCCTTAAGGACTAGGATTCTCTCTCACAGTAATATTTTGTGATTCCCTCTGCATCTAAAGCTTTTTTGAGAACATAGTGACTAAATAATTACAATTCTTCAATAAAATTAAATTCTATTAATATCTTAACTTTGTCAAAGGTAAGACCTGGCTCTGTCTTGGCTTAATTTTCTTCCATGGAAGAGCAAAATTTCTACCATCAATATTTTTCCTCTGGTCTGTGTGCATTTGTGAATTTTGAAAGAGACTATATATCTGAGACTCAAGAACTGACTTGTTCAAAGGAGATCCTTTTTCCAGCAACCAGTGACTAAACACGTTGATAGCTTTGAAGAGTACTCCGAGTTTCACAACACGAGTTTTATGGTGCTTATTAAAGTAGCTGTTTTGTCTCCATTTCGTATCTTGCAGCCAAGTCATTGCTGGATAAGTGAGATGGTAGTACAGTTGTCAAGCAGCTTGACTGATCTTCTGGACAAGTTTTCAAATATTTCTGAAGGCTTGAGTAATTATTCTATCATAGACAAACTTGTGAACATAGTGGATGACCTTGTGGAGTGCGTGAAAGAAAACTCATCTAAGGTAACTCTGATTACATTGGGATTGTTTTTCATTATCCTTCTCTAAAAACCCATGCTTCTTGGTGCTGTTGGGGAAAATATGGCATGTTTATTTATGAGATTTTGATTGGATGAACTTCAAATTTAAAAATCTTCTAAGATTGCAAAAGATGAGCAAAGGAAATAAGTATTTTTAGTTATACTGCAATACTGAAGTGTGCATCGAATAGACTTAAATATTGTCTTCTAATATAAAAGTAAAACTTATTTACGTTACAATGCAAAATAAGCCCTGCCTTTTTCTTTATTTTCTGTAAGTGAAGTCCTGAAAATCTTCCTATTAAGTTACAAATGTTCATTTAAATGGAAAATTGTAATAAACATACCCCTGTCCTTTTATCCATAACATAATTACCCCATAGGTCACAGCAAAGAAATACATTTTGGCTCCTCAAAGTCATTGAATAACTGGTCATCACCAACTTCAGGATAAGGCATGACATATGGGGTAGGCAATGTAGTCCAGAAAATAAGAGTGAGACGTTGGAGTTTAAATTCTGGTTCTGTCAGTAATGAATTTTGTAAGCATAACTTCTTTGTGCCTCGCTTTATCTTTAAAATGGAGACAATGCCAGAATTCCTCTAGTAGGGTTGCCTTTAAATGAGGTGTGATAAGTTCTTTAACACCATGCCTAGTAAAATAAATATTAACACATTTTGTCATTTTTTTCATCACAGTTTGTTTATAGCAGAATCATGCTTAAGAGATCTGATTTGGTATACAGTTCAAATGGCCAATGATTAGCTTAGGAGACTTCTATAAGTTAAAATCCAAAATTTTAAACAGAATTCTGTACTTTAATACCTAAATGCTTTTTCCTGTGTCCCTTCTAAATTCCAGCTATTCTTCAAGACTCAACTTTAATCCTATTTGTGCTCCCCAGTCTTATAATTTTTACCATACTAATAATCCAGTCACTACCTTTAATCTTTCTATTGTTTCAGTTTCTAATTTCCAAAGTCAGAATGTAGTGTTAATCGCTCTTTCATATTACTACGGCATTCTAAAGAGGTAGAAGTTACAAAAAGTACAGTATATCACACAAGGTGTCACAAAGTAAATAACATATGCATTAGAGCCTTAAGGTAAATGGTGATGTTGGGAAGAACACTGCAAACAACACAGAATGTCCATTTACTAAGTATGGCACTTTGGTGGGAACCCAGGAGATTATTGATGATATTTCTCAGTTCTTCTGGAGACTGAGAATATATCTATGAAGCAGTTAGAATAGTGCCTAGTAAGTAACAGACAGATGTTTATTTTGGTTACCTACTTTTCTTTATAATCATTATGTATCCCTATAATATAGCTTTGATTTGCCTTTGGGAATTTTATATTAATTTTATATCAATTAATCATACTATTTTTATTATTTTGGGACTTGCCTCTTTTACTCAGCTTTAGATTTAGAAGACGTATCCACTTTAATGCATATAGATATCATTAACCTTCTGCTGAATAAACTCCACTCATTCAATATATTACTAGTTATTAAGCCTCTGTCTTTTGATTGACATACGTAATACAGATATTGATGCAAAAAAAAAAACTTTTTTATATGTCTGATGGTATACGTATGTGCAAAAGCTTCACCAGGGTATTTACCTGAGAATAGAATTTCTGAGTCACAGGATGGGCATCTGTCTAACTTCACTGAATAATACCAAATGTACCAATTTACATATCTCATTAGTATGTAAGAGTTTCCTTGCCAACATTTAGTGTCATCTGACTTTCTAATTTTTGGATATTAGAGCATGCATTATGGAAAGATCTTTTTTTTTTTTCCTAAAAACTGGAAGTTCTTGTAATGGAGGGGTCTTTCTAAAATAAACCCTCATGTTTTTAATGAGCATCTCTAAAGAAAAATGTTTTCAATTTGTTGTTAAAGTTATTGTTTTGTCGTGACATTGTGTTCACTGCCCCAGACTCAACTCGTGATCCCACTACGTTACATTACCAATTTGAATTACATACATTAAAACAGCCATCTAAAAGTGCTAGTTGTAAGAGTCCAAATACTTGAATCTTTGAGGGACATACTTATAGTCCATTATCTTGACTTCAGTTAAATCTAAAGACTATTTGAGAAATGTAATCCTATTATTTTTCTTCTAGGATCTAAAAAAACCATTCAAGAGCCCAGAACCCAGGCTCTTTACTCCTGAAGAATTCTTTAGAATTTTTAATAGATCTATTGATGCCTTCAAGGACTTTGTAGTGGCATCTGAAACTAGTGATTGTATGGCTTCTTCAACATTAAGTCCTGAGAAAGGTAAGACGTATAAGCATTTCCAGGTCAAATGTAAACAGCAAACTTAAATCTTCCCTATGTAGTAAGAATCTACCTCTGTGTTTAATTGTAGCAAAATACATGCCTGTATGTCTAATAAAAAAGCAAATATCAATAGCAATTATGATTCAGAACATTTAAAAAATCTCTAAAATATAATACACAGAAGAAACTAATAATTGTACATTTGTTGGTTTCCAAGCCAAAACAATATTCGTCAGTTTCAAATTAGGAGTTGTTTATGAGTAAACAACATATGAGATGGCCACTCATGCCTCTTCTCATCTAACATTTGCTAGTAATGTACAATTATATTATTCTATACCTCCAGTCTACTTAATGTTCCTTCTCAAATTTTTTTCTTAAGGATCTAACTTTAAGTCATAAATTCTGATCCTCCCCAGTTACTCTGTATTGAGACTCTTTTTTCCCTTAACTGGATCCTTATAATACAAACCTGGATTCATTGCTTTCGTTTTTTAATGAGAAATTACCATCAATGTGTTATTTGCATGTGTTAACATATTTATTCAATAAATATTTGTTCTACAAGGTGACAATGGTGAATTTCTTATTAAAATAGAATAGCAGGACCCAGTATGAAATAAATAGGATCTGAATACCCTAGATTTGGGAAGCTGACCTGGCAAGTAATCTGGTATTGCACTTCACCTTTCAGGGACTCTATAAGTCATACAAATCACCATATAACACTGACACATTATTGCTTTCTATTTAGATTCCAGAGTCAGTGTCACAAAACCATTTATGTTACCCTCTGTTGCAGCCAACTCCCTTAGGAATGACAGCAGTAGCAGTAATAGTAAGTACATATATCTGATTTAATGCATGCATGGCTCCAATTAGCATCTATAGGAGTATTGCATGGGCTTTCAAGGAAACTTCTACATTTATTATTATTGATACTGTTCTGTTACTGTTATTCCTTTACAGTCTTCCTGAGACGTAAGTTTGTAGAATTAAATTGCCCTAGAGCTGGAGATAATGTTTAGAGAAATAGTTCAATAAATTTTCTGCTAAGATTATTTTAAATAAGACATACAATTAATTTTAGAAATATGATTTATGCTTTTTGTTGAAGCATTAAAATATATTCTGACAAAAATGGAAATTTAAAATTGAGTGTACAAATGCTGGTTGTATAAAATTCCAAAAATATTTTCAATTTTGTGTATAACAGTACTTACTGTTGTGAATTTGGAAATAACTAAATTTGATTTAGTTATTTTACTACAGATTTATATGTTTGAGGATAATATGCTTATTTTTCTGAAATTTCTGTCCTCTTTCGCCAAGAACTCAGTTTTCTTTTAAAATTCAGGCAAAGGTCATTATAAAGGTTATTGTATTTACTAAATACTCTCTAGCCTCATGGAAGGTGCAGGAAGAAAAAAAAATTATCTTGTGATCTTAGCTAAAAAAGTCATCTCTTAAGACTTACAAATGGGGCACTGTCTTTTGTTCAGGGACATAACAGACCTACATATGAAAAAAAGTAAGCACTTTATTAGTAATTCATAATAGCTTGTTACAATTCAGAATGTTTAAAAAAAAAACCCTCTAAAATACCTTTTATTTATTTTGGAATTTTTTGCCACCAAAACCTGACCTGAACTGAGATGAGGCTACTGATAGTCTTTAATTACCTTTCAGAAAGTGAATATTTATGTATTTTATTAAGGAAATATTAATGTATTTGATTACAGGATGCTACCCAGAACTCACTGGGGATAGTATTTATTATACATTATTTGCCGGACAGAATCATCTAAGATCTAAAATTCTAAATTACATAGGATATCAGTTCTAAAAAGTTTCAAAAAGAGACTAGGGCCCTGTATGTGTGGTAGTCTTTTAGGGGTTTTCTTACTAACTATGAATTTTATTAACATTTTCAAAGAAGCAACTTTTGGTTTCTTAAATTCTCTGCTTAGGTTTTATTAATATCTAATCTTATTATTTCCTTTCTTCTATTTGCTTTGGGTTTGATTTACTCCACTCTTTCTAGCCTTTCAGAGTGGAAAAATTAGATAACTGATTTTAAACTATGTTTGCTAATTATAAGTACTTAAAGGTATAAATTTTCTTATATACACTGCTTTAGCTGCACCTCACACATTTTTATGTTGTGATTTTATTATTTTTTCTAAATATTTGTCAATTGTGATTTCTTCTTTGATTCATGGATAATATAGAAGTGAACTGTCAAAAATTTTGTGGTTTTCTTATATATCTTATTGTTACTGGTTTATGAATTAATTTTGTTATTGTCAGAATATAATTCTTTGAAATGTACTGAAATTTTCTGAAATGTACTGAAACTATCTTATGTATATTATTTAACTATTGAGTGCAGCACTCAAATTTGGCCAAAGTGGTTGATAGTGTTGTTTATATCTTCCTTTGCTTAAGCTTCTTGTCTAATTTTTATTAATTATTGAGAAAAGGAATTGAAAATATTTACTTTTGATTGTGGATTTGTCTGATTTTCCTTTTGGTTTTGGGTTTTTTGCTTTATATATTTTGAAGCTTTATTATTATGGGCTTATACATTTATTATTGTTATAACTTTCCTGTTTAATTGACCTTTTAATCTTACTGAAATATCCCTTATTATCTCTGGTGGTGCTCTTTGTCTTGAAGTGTATTTTGTCTGATATTAGTAGAGCAAACCTTTCTTATGCTTGCTATTTTCATGGCATATGTTTGGCTTTCCTTTATTTTCAGTCTATTGTCTGTATTTTTAAAGTACATCTCTAGTAGGCAACATAAACTTGGGCTTCACTATTTTATTTAGTGTATCACTGATTGTTAATTAGAGTATTTCATCTATTTCTATGCAATAAATCATTGGTATAGTCGGATTTTAGTCCACCATTTTCTTATTTGTTTTTTATCTGTCCCATTTGTGCATTGATCTTTTGTTCCTTCTTTCTAGTGCTTTTCTGAGCTAATTAATTTTTTTCTAGTGTTTAATTTTTATTACTGTTGGCTTTTCAACAGCACCTCTTTGTATTACTTTGTGGTTATTTTGGAAATTAAAGTATACACCTTAACTTATAATATTCTACTTAGAGTTACTGCTGTAGCAGTGGAGATAAAAATACAGGAACCTTGAAACAGGATAGTTTTACTTAACCAAACCCATCTTTGGGTCACCTTTGACATTTATTAACATACCTACATCAGTTATAAATTTAACAATACAGTCTACAATACACAATATGGTTCAAATTATTGCTTTAAACTGTCATATGTATTTTAAAGAGAAGAAAAATATATTGTCTTTTATATTAACCTGCATATTTATTATTTCCTGTCTTCATTCCCTTTTGTAAATCCAGGTTTACATTTGGTATTAATTAATTTCCTTCAGGTTGAAAAACATTCTTTAGCATCTCTTATAGTACAGATCTGCTGGCAACAAATTCTTTTTCCTTTTTAATTGGAAAATGTCTTTTTATTGTCTTCCATGTAGCAGGTACTTTTTATTAGATATTGAAGTCTGGGTAAACAGGATTTTTTTTATTTTAATCTTTTAAAAGTATTACACTATTGTATTCCTGCAGTTATTGTTTCTAAAAAAAAAAAGGTAGCCATCATTTGTCTTATTTTTTTCCCTGTATGTACTGGGTCATTTCTTCATCTACCTTCTTTCAAAATGTTTTTTTTTTTTTTTTGACAGTTTGACTAGAATATGCCTATGAGTGGTTTTCTTTGTATTTATCTTTCTTGAGATTTGTCAAGCATTCTGGATCTGTAGGTTTGTTTTCCCTTAACTTTGGGGAAAAATTAACCATAATTTTTTCAAATTTTTTTTCTCCATTTTCTCTCTTCTCTCACTCTGATATAATACTCACATATATGTTACCAGTTTGCTAGTGTATCACAGGTCACAGAAGTTTTTCTCTCACTTATTTATCCTTTTTTCTCTCTGTTTTCCTGAGTAATTTCTACTTGTCTGCTTTTAAGTTCACTGACCTTTTCTTCTACCATCTCTGATCTGCTGATTTTTCACCCAGGGAATTCTTTTATTTTTAAATTTATATTTTGTGTTTAGAATGTCCAGTTAATTTTTAAATATATTTTATATTTCTCTGCTGAGATTTTCCATCTGCATATTTACTATGACAAAATTTTCTTTTTTATCCCTTAAACATAATTATAATAACTGCTGTAAAGTTCTTGTCTCTTAATTTCAACACATAGTTCATCTCACAGTTGGTGTCTTTTGACATTTTCCTCCCTGATTAGAGGTCGTATTTCCTTTTAAATAGTTAGCGATTGTTTAATATGTGCTGGATATTATTAATTCTATGCTGTTGCCTATCTTACCAATTCTATAGCATTTCTTTAGAGGCTACTGCATTGTGTTTTGGTAGGAGGTTCGAATACTGGCAGATGAGGTTTATCTTTTCTCCCAGCCTTGTTTTTAAACTTTCTTGGGTACGAGGGAAAGTAGCCTTATTCCTAAGGCATGGAGTATCTGAGATATCTCTAAAGTGCTCAGAAAATCTCTCCAATATTGCTTGTCATAACAACTTTGTCCCCCATTGTTCTGTGACTGCAAGGGTCTCTATTAAGATTATAGCTTCCCACGAGTTTGGTTTTTGGTGATTTATTTTTATTTTTATTTTTGGTCATGTTTTGTGACTTCTTTACTGGTACATATATAGTTTATTAGTAGACCAATAACTTGAGGGGATTCATCTAGAGATTTCTGATGCTCCTTTTCTGCACAGCTTCCTTCTTCCAACTAACCTAGATGCAGAAACTCCCGCCCCACATCAGCAGCGCTGAACTTCAGTCCTTGACTATCTTAGTGAGACCATTGATTCTTGCTTGGACTCTGTCTTCCACACTTCAATCTGAAAGTACACCCCAGACAGGAGAGCTGAAAGCCAGAAAGCCAGGGCAAACATGAGGCTCACTTAGTGTGGTTTCCCTGTCTCATGAACTGCACACTTGTGCTGCTGTTGGCTAATTTCTGAAAAGTGTTACTTCATAATTTGTCCAGAATTATAAATACTTAGGTTGGAAAGGCTAGTCTGCTACTATTGTGTTTGTAAACAAGTCTTTTTTACTGATTTTAAAAGACAAACTAAATATAAAATGCCTATTCAATTCCATGCTTCTGAATCTTAGATTACTTTTTAAATTGCAAGTTGAGTGGACAGCCCTTTATTTTGTTTATTGTTTTCTTTTTCTTCCTTTTAAAAAAATTTTGAGTCTTGCATTGTCAGCAACTTTTAGCTAGGTGATGTCACTCATGAATATGCCACTTAGATATCTATGCACAAGGCAAGATTTTGTGGTGCTCACATTCTAAGAGAAAGATGTAAATAAAATACTCATAGTACAGTATATAATATGTATTATACTAGAATTATGCAAATGCTTTTAGTTGTAGCACAAAGAGGGTAAGAGTGTTTTTTGGGAGAAGGATCAGGGAAATCTGAAGAAAGCATGTGTTTTCAGGGATAACTCAAAAGCTTCCCATGTCAGTCAGAGGATCAGGGCATATGAAAACTTACTATAGAGATGTGAGTGTATAAGGAAGAGTCATGGGATAATGGGATAACATAAAAACCTACTAGGTATCCAAAGGGAATTATGTTTATAGCATAACAGTAATATCCTTTATGATAAACAAAGAGAATGTTTAAAAGATGTTTAAGTTTGTGATCCTTGGAGATGGTATCTAAATTATAAAGAAAGAAATCCTAACTTTGACATTACCTTACACATCTTCTAGAAATAGTCTTGACTCAGCCTTCCTGGACTCATATCCCAGGCAAGTTAAACTCTGTTGACTCTTGCGTCAAATGGAAGATAATAATACCTCCTTCACTGTTTCTGTGAGTTTTAAGTGAGTTAGTACACGTGTGCTTGGAGACATACCTGATATCTTGTAAGAGTTCATCATTAAGTAGTAGAATAATGAGATGCAATAAGACTGTGAATCAGTAATTACGTTGAACCTTTAGTGAGTCCCGGATCTGAATCAAGGAGGAATACCTATTTGCTTGTTTCATAAGCACCAAGATAACCATGTCACAGGCATTGTGTTCCTAGACATGCTCACTCTAAAAAGAAGTTCAGCAAAATTACAGCACAGTTCTTTGTGTTCTATATTTCTACAGATGTTGGTTATTATTCATCAAATGAAACAAGCCAGTTTCCAAGATTTCTGGACAGTAGATAGTTTTTGTAATAAGAAGATATAATTAATATGATAATAACCCAGGAATTTGGGATTACTCAAATCCTGTCCAGATGAGCTTCCGCTCCACATAAGTTCTCTGTAGGCAATCTTCACATAAAATCAAAACTTTGTTGTCAGTTTAAGCTTTATTCCCAAATACCCTCCATTTGGGCCTTGAGGCATACAGTTCAAAGGTCATTGATTCCTACTGGATAGCTGCAGTAGAAAGTATTGAAAGTCGTCCCCTGGAGGTATAAGCAAATCTCTTCTGATAAAGTTCTTTTTGTCTGCCTACAAGAGGGGCAGTAGTATCTCTAATGGACCGAAGGCCTGGTTCTTAAGCCCTATGCATGAACAAGTGAGATTTAAAAAGTGAGGTAACATTGACCTCTATAGGAGGTGAAGCTCAGTTACCTATGGGCCCTTCTCTTAAGCCCCTCCTCCACGTCCCCAGTCTTTGCTGTTTCTCTCCCCTCCTCTCTCCTGTAGGATGATTGCTGCTGTGTCTTATTCAGATTCCTGGATTTTGTATTGGCTCATAGTCTTAGGAATCGAACTGTCAACATGGTTAAAAAAATCACAGCACTCTCAGAGAACAAGTCTGAGCTTTCCTTAGTGAGGTCTCCCACACAGCTTTGTTTGAAGCCCCTTCCTTAGATGTTATCCTTCTGCCTGAGAAAGGTTTTAGGTAGCAAATTTCAGAATATCTCACTCTTTCATAAGCTCCTTTTTGCTTGTGAGTCCAGTCTTTCCTCTGGTCTGAGTGGTGGATATCAAGACTTAGGTTTAGTCTTTGGATAGAACAGGAAGAACATGGTGTTTGGCTACCTTGATCCCAGGGCATCTGGCTGATCCAATATAGATAATGGAGTTCTCCATGGCATCTTCCTAGCTAACTAGAGTTTTCCATTGGGCTTTAGGGACAAGAATCTTAATTTCTTTCTTTTTTCTCTCTGTGTGCATTGGTTAGGGCCTCTCAAGGAGGTCACCTAGTAAATCTATCGTAATTATATACCTGCAATCCCAATAGATAAAGGGGGGTCACAGCAGTCAAGGTGGTTCGAAGAGAATGACAAACAGCCAAATGATTTATTTATAAATAGTTTTATTAACATTCCTCGAATGGTAGGAATTGTTTGTAATCCTGAATCTATTTCATATAGAGAACAACTTATAGATCCGAAGCTACTCTACATAATCTTATGTAATCCTTAAAAATAGTTCTATTATTATAATGATAGTATTTCAATTATACCAAATCCCATTTTATAACTCAGATTTATTTTAGTGAGAAAATTCACATTGAGCTCCAACTTGAGATGCTGAAACGTATTTCCCGTGGGGCTACAGGATGTGGGGTGGGCCAGGAGGAGGAATCATAAGGAGGAAATTCATGGTTATGTGAATGGACAACCCTACTTCTGACACCTCCCTACTTGAGGATCACCAGCACCTTACTGTCCATCTCTCACTGTCTCCTCCCACAACACACACACATACACACACACACACACACACAAGCACACATGCATATATCCCATCATTAGAGTCTCCTTGGAAACACAGCAATCATAGGATGAGGGAATTTTCTGCTCTCAGTTCACATATGATAGAGGAATGGACAGTTCCTGTCCTTACCATAGTAGATAAAATCTGTTTCTGACTTATCAGGTTAAATTTATGAATTAATTTCTCCCTGTAAGATGTTGATATATATATAGTAGATCAGTTATTTTATATTACATACTCTAGGTACTTTGTATGTTAAATAGGTATAGATACATAGAAAAATCTGTCAAAATAAGTTTCATGTTGGAAGGAAGAGACCCTTGTGGGAGATGTGTTTTGTTTATTTAATTCATGAATCATTCTGCATTTTTTTTTTAAAGATGGAGTCTTGCTGTGTTCCCCAGGCTGGAGTGCAGTGACATGATCTCAGCTCACTATGGTCTCCACCTCCTGGGTTTATGCAATTCTCCAGCTTCGGCCTCTGGAGTAGCTGGGATTACAGGTGTGGGCCACTATACCCAGCTAATTTTTGTATTTTTAGTGGAGTTGGGGTTTCACCATGTTGGCCAAGCTGCTCTTGAACTCTGGATCTCAGATGATCCACCTGCCTAGGCCTTCCAAAGTACTGGGATTACATGTGTGAGCCACCACACCCAGATTAAGTTCATGAACCATTTTGCTTCTCATGGAAGAGCCAGGCAGGATCAAGAAAGGTGTCTCAAGCCAATTCCATATATGTTCTCTCTCAATAAGTTTCTTATTTAGACTTAGTATGGGGCAACACTGGTGCCTTCAACCATTCCCCTTAGTGTTAGTCTCAAGCTTTCCAACATTAAAAGTTCAAACACATAGTCCGTTGCACACTGGCACCCATTAAATGTATATTGAAGATATGAATGAGGAAATAGACATGATTCTAAGCATGAGATACCTTAAAATACTATAACCACAGTGCACATACAATTATTTAATATTTTCAACAGTCCAAACAAAGCTGAATGCATACAGATCTTGATCCATGTTGTAAAATGTCATATTTAAAATTTCTGAGCAAGCTGTCAAGAGTGAGAAAGCAAAAAGACTTTAAAAGATAAAGGCATGGGAGAAAGATTAGCCTGATAGTATAAATCATTTTCCCCTCAGAAATATATCAAGCCTTAGTTCCATATGTGTCAGCATTACCCAAGCTAGAGCTCTTTCTGCCTCTGTGATTTCTTTCTTTTTTTAATGCATTCATCTCTTGGAGACTACATGGACTTATATTGCCTTACAAAAGCAATATTCAGCAGAACTATCAATCTTTTGAATACTTTAACTGACATAGGTCCAGAATATGTTATGGATATAGTTAAAAACAACCACAGCATAACAGCAAAACTTCTAGGATGGATATGCTGTATTCATCACCATGTTCTTTAAATTATAGGGAAGGCCAAAAATCCCCCTGGAGACTCCGGCCTACACTGGGCAGCCATGGCATTGCCAGCACTCTTTTCTCTTATAATTGGCTTTGCTTTTGGAGCCTTATACTGGAAGGTAAGTGTTGCCATTCCTTTTTTGTTTTTTAAATATACTATGTTTACATAAATTATTAATAATTTTTTTCTCAAGAAATGATTCTTTAAGAAAACAGTACCTTTGCTTATAATCTAAACAAAATTTAAATTTTAGAAAGTTTCCCTATTTCTCATTATGTCTGGAGATAATCCCTCTAGCTGATAATTCACACTTAAGAATTAGGAAGTGTTGTTAATAGCCTGAACTAAATATGAAAAGGAAGATCTACCAAAAATCATATGATGCACGTAAAAGACAAATAGAAATGTCATTTGTATTATCTGCTATTTTAGATTTCTACTCCTTTGTTCTCTTCTTATTGAAGCCTGTCTAAAATTTTAAAATGCACAAAAATCATTGTGACTCAGCTTCTTGAAATTTCTTTTGAATGTGATTACTGTTTAAATGTCAGTTTCCTTATTACTCTTTAGCCCCCAACATCCTAAAAATGTTGAGTTGATAATACCATGCAGCTTTTACAATTCGTTATTACAGAAATACTTTGCATGCTACATGCTCAAAAAAAAACTGTTATTGGAGTTATTGACACAAAAGATAAAAGTAGAGACCACTTACCTCTTAAATATTAGACCATTCATTGATCATTTTACAACATGTGACTTTCTTCTTTTTCCAGAAGAGACAACCAAGTCTTACAAGGACAGTTGAAAATATACAAATTAATGAAGAGGATAATGAGATAAGGTATTTTGTTTTGCTAAATGTGTGCCTAAGCAAGCATGGCATTGCCATTTCACACACTGTGTACATGCTCATAATGTCTTTAAGAAGTCCTTCATTCATGACAGTAGCTCCTAACCAGTGAATTCCAACTCTGACCTCTCACTCTCTCTGCAATCCTGCATTTCCATTTACCTGTAGAATACTGTCACATAATTTTCTTCATGACCCTTCTTAGCATATGAAAGGAGTTAGCTCTCCTTTCTTATTTTAGTAAGGCGGCAGAATCTTCTCAGACTCCTAGTTACAGAGCTCTGGAGGCACATTTGCTCATGTTCTTTCTTTTCCACACTTTTATCAAAACATACTGATTCAGCTCTCGGAGCCTCTTCCTAAGCTTAGTTCTTTTGATAGTAAGCATTATCATCACTGACATCTTTATGATCTCATGAATTGCTGCCACCGATCTTTTCTTTAGCACTTCTAAACTCAACCTTTAGTCATACTCTTCTGTAAACCCTGGTTCATAGTGTCACTTCTTTTTCAAAATACATGCAGTGATTTTCTCTTGCATATCTAATATATCTCTTATTTTACTCTGGCTTTCAAAGCCCGTAACTTTTCTCAACATACTCGTTGTTTTCTCTAAAGCCAAATACAAACTTTGTTGTAAGATGACATCCATTCACTGTAGCTGGCTCTCGTTAGTCTTTCACCTTACCCCATACTGCCCAGCATTCATATTTTCCCTTAACTTCGATTATAATTTTCATTTGGTGTGTTGCTTTCTCTCATGTCATGCCTGTATGTATACCCAGACACATATAAAATGCATATAAGCATGTTTGGTGTGTGTATATACAGATATATCGAGAGAAATTTTTAACTACTTAGAAAGACTACCTTGAGACAAATGAGGTCTTCTCTTTTCCCTGTAGTAAGAAGAAGGTAAACTTCCCATTCAATTTTGCAATCTTTTGCTACTGTATTTATAGAAAAGCTGCCTTTTACAATGCCTAGATCATTGTGTACCTCAGAATCCCTAATCAAGTGAAAATAAGCATTTTATTCTTATTGCTTTTCAGTATGTTGCAAGAGAAAGAGAGAGAATTTCAAGAAGTGTAATTGTGGCTTGTATCAACACTGTTACTTTCTTACATTGGTAAGTTTTTAAAATTCAAGCTGAAATATTTAGCAAGAACTATACAGTAACTGAGATGCCAGAATTTAGAAACAAACTTCATTAGTAAGTCTTCTACATCAAGCAGATGAGAGTATGTTGGCTGAAGTTGTTACATAATTGAAATGTGCATATCTAATTCACTGTGTATTCTCAAGTTTTGAAAGGTAAGCAGTGTTTGTCCTTTCTAGTGGATTCATCTTGTATGGGAGATACACAAAAAATTAACAGTTGTAAGTTTACTTGGACTGTTTTTGAGGCCAGAAAAATTAATTAGACAAGGAGAATATAACAAATTAGGGCTCAAATAAAATAGTAGTGATAGACTAAAAATATATAGAATTAATTTTATTTAGATGTGACCAGTATAACATGACAGTATCCCATGTGTTAGATGCTGAAACAAGAGAAAACCAGAATGTTTCCCTGCCATTTTAAAGAAAAAGAGAAAACATCAAAATCTTACAGTCGGGAGAGGAAGATTTTCAAGATCAATTGCCACCTTCCACATGACTAGTAATAATTATGCTTTATGATAGTTCAGAGTCCAGAATTCCTGAGCATAAACACATGGCAGATACTGGCTGATTGTGTGGTTCTGTGGAGGGACTGTGGGAGAAAGGAGAGTAAGACATGGCTAGAAGCTACTGGTGATCAGTATCTCCTGTCCTGCCTACATGGTCTGCTCCCTTGCTATAGATACTGTTGCGGGAACACCCAGAGCTGCATTAATTTGATCAGTATTGATTCATGCTCTCCCTCACTTTTGCTTCTACTAACTGGTTCTCATGCCACTGAGAGTATTCTTTCCTCTTTCTAATTCCTCAATTCTTCTGTGCACTCCCTCCTTGTCAAAGGATTATTTACTTTCCTCTTTATTACCTAATCTGTGGTAAGTTCTTTTACCCTGCAGGTCTCTGCCCTTCCAGCTTTAACTCCTATCCCAGGTTCAGAGATTTATCTCTAGACTGAATCTGCTTCAATGGAGCTGAGTCATAAAGTGTCTTGCCTCCTGAATGAGCTTACTTTTATTGTTATATAACAACATTCTTTTAACAACTCAAGATAATTATGTCGTACTTTTCTCTAGCACTTTAATACTGTTATTCTATACACTGTCACTTTTATCTTTAATCACACTCCTGATAAACATGTCCAAAGCATGAATAGCATCCTCTTTTTTCTGCTACCCATTCCTACTTCTTTCTAGGTTCATTCTTCCTGTCCAATAGTAAATGGATAGACCCTTTGCTTGACCGTTTTATTTTCTGGAGCAATATTTCCCAAGCTGAAACCATGCTTTTTCCTAGATACTCATTTCTCTGCCTTTCAATCACAAGATGAGCTTCACTTTTTTTCCCCCCTCTTCTTCTTGACAGCCATTTTAGTTCTCTCAAGCCAGGCATCCACAAACCACACATTAAATGGAGAATTGAGTCTTAAGTGCTCAAATGCTCGAGTAATGTCCTCTGTTGTTTGGTTTTGGATTGCATTGCATTGCTAGGATCCTGTTTTGGCACACAGGTCTTCAATCATGTGGTTTTAATTGTGGTATTTGTCCCATGACATTTGGGAGTAGATTAGGATGAGGAAACCCAGGCCACTGGTTTAGGAGGAAAAAAGATGGTATTTTAAAGCAACCATAGTCAAACAACTTGTGCATGTGTTGAATAGTCAGTAAGCTTTCCAAGGCAAGAGCTGGGTCTTTCTGTTTCTTGCTGTGCCCTCAACACCTAACTTGTTGCCTATGCATTGTTGGCTCTTTATAAATGTCTGTTGAATGAGAGACTGAGTGAGTGACTCAGCCCTAAACGAAAGTTTAAGCAAATGGCAAAGAAGATTGTTCTTCTGAAGTAGGGTTTGTTTTTATCTTGTGTGTGAATATGTCTGTTTAATTTGCTGGTTTGGATTAATGGGACAGCAAGATATGCATATCAAGAGGGAATATGATCATATGGGAAATTAAGTAATAAATTATTTTTCTTAAGGTATGAATTATTTACTCATGTATAAAATAAATCACATTGGCCAGGTTAATGAAGCCAGAATTGTTCAGAAAAAAAACCCAGAACAGTTAATGAGTAGTCGATGAGAAATAGATGGCAGAATGAATGAAAAACATGACTCATTCCCCTTTGTAAAGTACCTTACTCATCATCTCTGCAAAGCTCCTCCAAGACTCAGGTCACATACTACTATCTACAAAAAGCTGACTTCCCAAATGAAAATAATCTCTATTTGTAGCCCTCTAAATAGATTTCATATGACCCTTGGTAGGACATCACAGTCACTTAAATGAACATTTTGTGCTCTTTTCAAAACCATAAGCTCTTAGAGGGCAGGATTTTGTTTTTTCTTAATGTAATTTTGGAGTCCCATTAAACAATGTCACTTATACTATGCATATATAAATGATGAATAATTATTTGTCAAATAAATAATCATTTATTAATTTAAGATGAATGAATATCTCAGAGAATTACAATAATATGATAATAACATTTATAGAGATAAAAAAGGAAATGAACTTGGATGTGTGTATGAGTACATAAGAATTCAAATGCTGAGGGAAAAGTAGGAAAGAGGGAGAAAAGAGCCAGTTCATCATCAATAATCTGAAAACCTCAAAATAAAAATATGTATATATCATTTGTAATCATCTATTGACTATCCATTACATGAAGTAAAGCCTTACATTTGGCCTCATACTAACAGAGATGGAAAACCCTCCAAGGAAGTCTCAAGTCTATTTCCTAGGTAAGAGTATAGTAGAGGAAAGGTCTGAGAGAACAAACTATGATGGGGTAGGAGAGAAAATCTTCTAAAAAATAAGAATAACTAAAAAAAAAAAATACCAAGATAGAAATAAAATGTGGAGTTGCAATTATACATTTAAAAAATAGATACGATTTCAATCATTTTCTTTGTTAGCAAGGTAGGGGAAAATACAAGAAATGACTTAGGTTTATGGCAAGGATTTCTCCCGGAAAGGGAAGTTTCACTAACTAAAACAAATTACATCATGACAAATATTGGAACACTAGAATAGAGAATATATGGGCTAGTTCTCTGAAGGAAATACTCTATAATTGGGAAATGAAAAGAAAGGTTTAATATCTTAAATACAAAGAACAAATGTGGAAGGAATGTAATGAACTAGAAATAACAACAAAAGTTGCACGTAGGAAAAAATAGGCCAGGAGCGGTGGCTCACACCTGTAATCCCAGTAATTTGTAGGGCTGAGCTGGGAGGATCAGTTGAGCCCAGGAGTTCAAGACCAGCCTGGGCAACATAGCAACATAGGGAGACCCCATCTCTACAAATAATTTAAAAATTGGCTGGGCATAGTGGTGTGCATCTGTGGTCCCAGCTACTGAGGAGGCCGAGCAGAAGGATTGCCAGAGCCCAAGAGGCTAAGGCTGCAGTAAGCCATGATCACAGCACTGTACTACAACCTGGATGCTGGAGCAAGACCTGGTCTCAAAAAATAATAAAAATGAAAACTTAACTAAAGTTGTGTTTATTTGACACCATGCATGAGAACAGCTATGTGAAAAGTTAAAAATCTACTTGGTCACTTAGCTTATGGCAAGTATCCACAGCAGCATCCTACAAAAAACTTTTTCATATTTGATTGTGTATAGCAAAGATTAAGAGAAATAAGTAAAACAGATACGTTACATTAAAAGCCTTATTTATGTTAATACATTACGGGAAACGTTTGCTCTTTACTCTTCCCACAAATGTGATTTCAACAAACTCTAGTAGGTGCATTGATGGATGCAATGCTTAATAAAACTTTGTTGTGTCCTCAAATTGTTAATAGCCTACAAAAGGAAATCAGGCATATACATCATAACCCATTTTTAAAAGTAAACTAAAAGTTTACAAGGTTACTTTGATCAAAGTCTAGGCCCCTGCATATGGTTGTACAAGACATGAATTCAACACTGTTTTAGATGCTGGCATGGATGGCATCTTAGAATTGGGCACACCCAAATACAACTGCCTGTTTTTGAAAGGAGAGAGAAATCACTAACAATAGGAGAAAGGCTTCACTTTATAAATGATGGAGGTGGCATCTGTACCGAGCACATGGCATAAACTAAGTCAGGAAGGTCCCAAAGTAGAAACTATGTTCAAGGGTTAGTTTGGACAGTTGTACTCTAGTGGAAGTCACATATAAAGAGTTAAAATGCTGAGAAGAAAGAGTAAACATCAGTTTGAAAAAGGGTTTGAATTCCACGAATGGGGCTTACATGCCTTGTGTCACATAAGGAGCTATTGGGAGAAAACGGTGTAGGAAAGATGTGGGTGACAATCTTAGCAGAGGTGTGGAAAAACTAACTGGGTGTCAGTATGGCCAGAGATGTTTAGGAGTGGTTAACTAGAGAAAGGAAGTCCACTTACAAGGCCAGTCTTCAAATAAGATTTGAGGGAAAATGACAACTGAGTTACCATCAGGGCCAGGAAATAAGAAAGCATAGACCATTTGAAGGCATTGCAATATAAGAATCAACAAATCCTGGTTACTAATGGGGCACGAGGCTTGGCATCACAGGCAGAACTCAAGAACGATTTGGAGACGATGGGACTTACCAGAGTGCAGTGGCATTAACGGGAAATGGGAAATCAGGAGAAGTAGTTGTTGGTAAATATTATTGAAACTGATCAGTGGCCAAACATGTTAGACTGGAACCTTAGATAACAGTCAGGCCTGGAAAGAATAGATTTGCCATTTGAGAGTCATCTGCAAAGAATCTTATTTTGAGACCTTGAAAGAAAAATTGCTTTGTCACAGAAAAGGCCCAGTGTGGTTGATAGTAAATAGCATGGGTTTGATTATGGAGAGGTTCACTAAAGAAACACAAACAAAATTTCCTGTATAGCTGAGCTAAGGGAGAAGAAAATAAATCTTAAAATTGAAATAAAGGACAAGCTCAAGTCAAGCTTGGAAATTTAGGACCCAAGGCTTGGAAATGGTTGGTTACCAAATAAATAGCAAGATGTGTGATTCTTTACCAGACATTTCCAAAGCTTTAGGAGTTTTGTTTCTGTAGACACATTGTAAAGCCGAGGATTAGAAGGGATTTGGCTTGGGTTCAAGTCTTGACTCTTTGACATAGAATACTAGATGAGTTTCTGTCATTTCATGTCTTGTAAACCCTGGTTTTTCATATGTAGTGAGGGAGGGTTCTTGCAAGAATCCTGGTTATCATTATAAAAACTGTAGTTTTGTTCTATGGGAAAACAGGTGTCAGTCTTTAAGTTTATTTGCTTTGCTAAGTGACCCAGGGATAGAAGACAGAATCAAAAAGAGATTTTCAATCTTGCTTCTCTACATTTAATTTTCTCTCTCTCTCTCTCTCTAATTTCTTTCTCTCTCTCTGCCCCCCGACCCGCCCCCTCCTTCCCTCTCTTGTTTTGAGACAGTCTTGGTCTGTAGTCCAGGCTGGAGTGCAGTGGTATGAGCTCAACTCACTGCAACCTCCGCCTCCTGGGTTGAAGCGATCTTGTCCCTCAGCCTCCCAAGTAACTGGGACTACAGGTGTGCATCACCATGCCCAACGAATTTTTGGATATTTAGTAGAGACAGGGTTTCACTATGTTGGCCAAGCTGGTCTCGAACTCCTGACCTCAGGTCATTCACCTACCTCAGCCTCCTAAAGTTCTGGGATTACAGGCATGAACAACCACGCCCATCCTACATTTAATTCTCTACATTAAGCTTTGTGTTTCAAGTTATTCATACCTCTAAAAATATATTCTTTTGCTTTTTGTGATTCTCTTTTGCTTTCTAACCATGCTTTTAAAATATCTTCTATATATTTTGGATTTTTGAAGTTTTATTTTAGTATCTCTTAATTTTTGTTATAGATTAATTCTGATTTCCTAAATGCAGGTTGTCCAGCTTCTAGAGTTCTCTGGTAAATTGTTGTATAAGATACTTTTTAATATATGACATTTAGAGAGACTGGAAAAATATTGCAATTTTTATTACTCACACGATGGAATTTTACGGCTAATCTGTTTAATGATCTCTGTACTTTAAAAACAGTGATTTGTGATGCTGGGTTGATAAACACGGACAAAAGTCATAAAAGAGATTGAGCAGAGAAGAGAAATACCAAACACATTTGTTTAGAGACTGTGATTGAAGATGGGATGGTGATACTATCTATCTATCTATATATTTATTTTAATATGTATATTTTATTGCATTTTAGGTTTGGGGGTACATGTGAAGAACATGCAAGATTGTTGCATAGGTACATACATGGCAATGTGGTTTGCTGCCTTCCTCCCCATCACCTATATCTGGCATTTCTCCCCATGTTATACCTCCCCAACTATATTTTTAAAAGTAGAAAAGGAATTACAAATGCTTTACTGGAAAGCTGAAACATCTGAAAGCTCAGTAGTTTAACTGAAGTACTAAAGAACTAAAACAAAATATGGTTTTCATGCTTCAACAAGTACAACAGGCTGTGCTGAGGCCAAGTGAACCTTCTCCAGAGGCTTTGTTGGGATGTAGTGCCAGGATTTCAGTCTTTCTTTTTTTGGCTGGTAGTATTTCTGCTGCTATTTCCTCAGCTGGTAGAAATGATTGCTAGAACCTAACTAGACCGTCAAGATTCTAGAGCAGCACCTCAGTGTCCATGTGAGGCTACTACTTGTTGGTGGCAATTGACCAGCTTCTCCACCTGTCCTATGGATCTCTTTCATGCTACTCTATCTATCTCCACTTCTCTAGTCTCCACTCTCCAGACACTTCCTTGTTCATCAATTCTTCTTCCTTCATGCCTGTCTACTACCTTTTATAGCCTTGCTAGAGAAACTCAAAGCTAACTATTTTGATAATTATCTTATCACAAACTGAGATCATTGGTAGAATGTCAGAAGGTATGAAAGTCAAAGGGTGAAATATTTACTGAGTGACTATTAAGTGCCAGCATTGTTATAAGAGTGGAGGTACAGCAATAAAAGAGATAGAGAAGCTCCCTGCCCTCATGGAGCTTATATTTTAATGGGAGAACATAGATAACAATACATAAGATTGTTTCAGATAATGTGTTACCAAGGAGATCATAGAAAATGACTGATCACTGCATGTAAGAAAACATTTATCAAGTTCTTTTATGCTATGTAAGAAGCATACATTGTAAATCCGTTACTCTTTCTGTGGTCATATACAATTTCAGCTACTGAGATTTTGAAAAAAGCCAGAAGGCAGATATACCATAATCTCTCTTCTTTTCCTTTCTAGGCTGGTAACAGTTCATGTTTGCTTCATAAATGAAGCAGCTTTAAACAAATTCATATTCTGTCTGGAGTGACAGACCACATCTTTATCTGTTCTTGCTACCCATGACTTTATATGGATGATTCGGAAATTGGAACAGAATGTTTTACTGTGAAACTGGCACTGAATTAATCATCTATAAAGAAGAACTTGCATGGAGCAGGACTCTATTTTAAGGACCTGCGGGACTTGGGTCTCATTTAGAACTTGCAGCTGATGTTGGAAGAAAAGCACGTGTCTCAGACTGCATGCACCATTTGCATGGCTCCAGAAATGTCTAAATGCTGAAAAAACCTAGCTTTATTCTTCAGCTACAAACTGCAGCCTGTAGTTATCCTGGTCTCTGCAAGTAGATTTCAGCCTGGATAGTAGCAGTAACAATTTTTCTCAAAGGGATCTGGAAAAAAATGTGTAAAACTCAGTAGCATCAGCCACTGTACAGTGTAGAAAGCAGTGGGAACTGTGATTGGAGTTGGCAACATGTCAGTTTATAGTTACTGATTAGTTATATGGGTCTGATTTTGATCTCTTCCTGATGTAAACTATGCCCACCCAACACATGTAAACAGTTGCCTGGTTCCATCCATGTAGAGAGCCAGTACTGAATTATGTGTTGGCAGAGGGGAGACTCCAAAAGAGTCATCGCAGGAAGAAGTTAAGAACACCGCCCAGCAGAACAGTCTGCTGAGGAGGACACTGGCACCCCTGGAAAAGTCTGCCTTTTCCCTTGACCACTTTAGAGTGTATAAATTGTGTTTGCAAAATATGTTATGACATGTTTATATTCTACAACTATTACAGAGCTATGTAAAGGGACTTAGGAGAAAATGCTGAATGTAAGATGGTCCCATTTTCAATTTCCACCCTGGGAGAGAATAAAAATAATTTATGATATTTAGTATCTAAGGTTAGAAAACCACACCCACATGTTAATATGGGTGTTGAAACTAGGTTACTTGGAATGCAAGGAATCAGGAAACTTTAGTTATTTATAGCATAATCACCATTATCTGTTTAAAGGATCCATTTATTTAAAATCAGGCACTCTATATTCATTAAGGTTTATGAATTAAAAATTAAAAGAAAGCTTTATGTAGTTATGCATGTCAGTTTGCTATTTAAAATGTGTGACAGTGTTTGTCATATTAAGAGTGAATTTGGCAGGAATTCCTAAGATGGACATTGTGCTTTTAAACTAGAACTTGTAAGACATTATGTGAATATCCCTTTCCAAGAAAACATCTGACTAAAGTCAAAGAATGATTTCTTACGGTTTACTTTGATGAAGGTCCTTTTAACATGTCTTGAATGTACACATAAAGGAATCCAAAGCTTTCCATTCTAACTTAACCTTTGTGATAACAGTATTGCCATGTTCTACCACCATACAATGACAGTTTTCAATGTAGTGATACAAAAGGGCATGAAAAACTAATTGCTAGCTTTCCTTTCATTTCAAAAATCCAAGAATTTCTATTATATTTGGATTTTAGCTTACGTTCAAAGCTAATCCAGATACAACTCCAGTAAGTGGCCTTTGCTCTTTTCTGTACCAAAGAGCCCAGATGATTCCTGCAGTCCCTTTCTTCTCTAACATGCTGTGGTTCCTTAAATATGAATAATTTCTCTAAGATACAACCCAGGTGCTTTGAGAAACTTTATTATGGTGTTCAGGCCCACAGATATCCCATAGTATACTTGATTAGTAATAAAACCAGACATCAATTTAATTGCTGATAGGTTCTGTCTCAGTGTGTGGCACTGAATTGTTTTCAGGAAAATAGATATAGAATAATATGAGTTATGTGTATAGGCTGTGTGTAGATTGAGAATAGTAGATACTTCTCAATCTAGTAGTTTTATTTAACCAATGGTTTCAGTTTGCTTGAGCATATGAAAATGCTGCTTAATGTGCTTGAGAGTACAATAAATGTACCTTTGTCCTCAAACCTAGTAGCTGGGTTTTAACACTCAAGGACATGGTCTTAATCAATAGAGTTAAATAAACACATTCAGCAAATTATTAAATCTGACATGGTAGGAGAGGGGAGATGTGTTCTGCCCATTAAATGTTTTGGTCCATTGAAAGTTACATGGATTGCCAATTTTTAAAACACTAAAGTTTAATAAAATGCATGAACAATAGAAAAATGAACATTATTTTGGATGCTAGCTGCTTGGATATTAACTGTGTCATTTCTGCTTTGAGATCAAATATATATTTATCTTTGCTTATTTTATCCCAGATGTGTTCCGAATATCCTTCTTCACAAATCATGGGAAACTCACTGCTGAGATAGTAAACCATGAAATCGCCTTTTCAGTTGGTGCCATGTGTCTGATAGTTCCATCTTATAGTGTTTCAAAATTACCTTTTAAAATGATCTCAGAAATCTGTAGATTCTAACAATACTGAAAGCTTTGCACCTTTTTGGTAGAAACCAAGTCAATTTTAAAAATGGCTTTATGATAAATGGTGCCTGCCCAGTGATAATGAAGTGTTCCTGGATATTGTATTGTAATTTAATGTGCTTACCACACTGCCATATTTTAATGAGTCAGAGACAAACTGATTTTCTTCAATACAATAATAGAACAAGTAGCCTATTCGTTTAAAAAGTATGTGAAAAAATGAAAATTATGAAAAATTATGCAAACCTAATGAAGTATTTGCTTTTAGTAAAAATTAAATACATTTCATTGAGCTTTTAAGTACTTTGGAGAAACTTTGGGGCACATTTTGCTACTCTAATTCAACTGAAGTTATAAATAAAGAGAAAAATTCATTCAGAAATCATGGATATTTAAAAATGTTTTACTGCAGCTAGGTTTTCGCTTCAAAATGTAATTCCAGTTTGGGGCTTTAAGGCATTTTGGCATGGTGGGATGGATGTTGCAAAAGATCCTCCAGAGCCTCCACTCTGTCATTAACTGATGTGGTAACTCGCTTCTCCTCTTTGAATCTCAATTTTTTATTTATCTATATGATAAAATCAGAGATCACACCTTAGGGGTGAGTCCTGTTACAATATGACTGACAAGATAAAATAGAATTGAAACTAACCCATACAAAATATCTCAACTCTGGACTCTGTGAATAAGTATCTTGACCATAAAAAGTCATTGCTGTTCTTGTTTCTAATGTAAATAGTGTTCATTAGTAAGGTGAAATTCAGTCTTAAGTAGGGTGAATTGGATCACCATTTACACAAGAGATGGCTTTTTCCTTTGCTTAAATAAACATTTTGGATCACCTCCCAAGAACGAAAACCAGTAGTACATTTTAGTCATATTAGTCAGGATGAGAAACTATAAGATGAGTGTAGCATTTGGAAGTGCACCAAAGTAAGCATTTAAATCTTCTCATTTTATTGAAAACTAACAGCAGAAAGTGTAAATTGCTCATGAGGTTTCTTAATGCCGAAAGGTATTTTGGAACCAATTTATAAAGGGGTAATTCATTGATTACACTTTAAAATTTGAAAGTGGGATAAGAATTCTAAAGCAAGCCAGCTTATCTTTGAAACAATATTATTTTGAAATTGGCTTTAAAATAAAATCATTCAGATTGAAACTCTAATTAGTTCATTTGTGGAATTTGATCACACAGTTCATAGTGTTGCTGCTTTCCATTAACTAGTCTTGAAATGTTTTTGTTTGTAAAAATAAACTAATGGTACTTTCATTTCACAACAAGGTTGTTTTTTTTTAAGAAATAATCCATGCTAAAATGGATATTTGTGATCCTGAAATGTTTGCTAAGCATTCTAAATTGATTTATAACTGCCATCTCTAACTACATCCTTATGAGGTTTTTAATAATAAAATTAAAATAATAATTGTTTAAACTAAAAACCACACCATTTTCCAATACTTGATTTCTGAGCTACAAGACTCACTAAATATAATTTTCCAATCAAAATATTCTATTGTCCTATGTGCTAAGGATTAATGTGTGATTATAGTGTCCACTTGCCACCAATTTTTATAAAACAATGGACTTGAAAAGTATTAATTTAGATGGATGCACAGATATATCCTTAGTTCAGCCATAGATTGGAGTTTGCAATATAATAATGTAAATGTATGTCAACACTATTCTAAATAGTTTTATTATGACTGAAATTTAATTAAATAAAAAAGGTTGTAAAATGTGATGTGTATGTGTATATACTATATGTGTACTTTTTAAAATAGGTGTGTGTCCCAACCCTTTTTTATACAGGTTTGAATTTGAAATTACATTATATATACATATACTTTATTGTTCTAAATAAAGAATTTTATGCACTCTCATAAATTTTCTCTGTCTTTTTCTCTCTTAAGGTTATCAAACATGTGTACAACATGGTTGAGCATTTATTAAGCTACTGTCAAAATTTTCTATGGAAACTTTGATTTTGTTGAAATGACACAAGGGGATAAGAAATCACTTAAATTCATTAAATATTTATTGATCACTAAAGTCATCAAGGAAAATAAAGATGAATTAACAGGACATTTGCTTTCAAGAGGTTTATAACTCGGTTGGGAAATAGATATGCAATAGATATACAGAAAAGCACTATAATCGCTATAGATACAGGAAATAGACAAAGCTATAGATACAGGAAATAGACAAAGCTATACACTATAATATGTATAGTCCCTGAAGTAACTACTTATATGCAAAACAAAGGTCCAGATAAAGTGCTTAAGGTAGGCAGGAAGGAGAAATGAATAAGGAATAAGGAGGACCGTCAAGGAGTTGATATTGGGCTAATATTTAGAAGGATGAGAAAAATTTTTAGTCAAAGCAGCATTTCCATTAGAAGAAGTTATAAAATTTCTAAGCTTATTTTACCAAATCAAACAGGTATGTCCTTAGCGTACACCACATATAAAGACATACGGAGAGATAAGACCAGTCCCTTCTACATATCAACAGCAGGGAGTTCAGAAACTATTCTTAGGGTCCCTGAGAAGAATGACAAGATCCAAACTCACTATTGCTTCTGTGATTTAGGGAATAATCATCCTGCTTAACCAATGGTTGCTGTTTGACTGTTGACCACATCCCCTTTGCTATATGACACCACACTTATTCACCCACTATTTCTTTTCAGAATTTGCTGATTCTCCCTTCTCTGTTCACCCTTTATATTGCCCCCTTTAACCAATATATGTCTAGATGACTAGAATAGCCTCCTAACTGATCACATTATTCTACTTTCACCGTTTTTTAACCAGTTCATCACATCATAGTGAATACTATGGAGATATCTGGTTGGTTGGTTGTTTGGTTGGTTGGTTGGTTGGTTGGTTGGTTGGTTGTTTGGTTGGTTGGCTCCTGGCTAAAACACTTTGACGGCTTCTCGTTATTTTTGAGATAAAACCCAAACTCTTCAATATGACCTGCAAACCTCTACTTGAGCCATCTCATCATTTTTTGGGGGGGCAGGAGGATTGCTCATTGTTTTTGCCTTTAAGCCACCAACAACATGAAGGTTGGGCACATAAATACTAACAGAAGTGCATTCCTCAAATTTCATGCAAATGATAATTAGTAGAATTAAAACAAAATGTGATCTAAATAGCTATCACCTATCACACTGAGAAGTTATTTTTTAAGACTTTTTATTATGAACAATTTGAAATATATGCAAAAAGTAGACAAGATAGTGTAACAAACTCATATAACCATAACCCTGCTTCAACCTTATTCAGCTCCTGAATAATCTTATTTTATCTAAACTCCCTATCTATATGCCTTATCCACTTTCCGTTTCATATCATTTTCAGGAAAGTACTTAAATGTATGTGATCTGCAAATACTTCTGTGTGTATCTCTACTTGTTAACTTTTAGAAAGCTTAACCTTGATACCCTTGGTATACCTAAGAAAAGTTACTAACAATTCCTTAATACCAAAAAGCCAACAAGTATTTACATAGTAATTCTCTCACACTATACACCTGAGTATTGCACTAGAGTAGGGTATAAAATACAGTTAAAACTCCCCCTTAAACATTAAAGTTAGTTCTCCCAGAGGTAAACATTGCTAATTATTCCTCATTAACTTCTAGAATTTGTTTGCATGTACAAATTATATATACATGTATATGCAATACTAGTCTCTAACCTTACCTCTTTCATTTATTAGAAGAAATGTGGAACACTACATCAGCCTAGATAAATCTTTACCCACTGCAGCATAATAACCAGGAAATTGTAGATAGGCATTATAATTGTAGTATAATGTGTGCCCTTTGGAATTTCAGAACTCAGCAAAATCTAACACATTATCAGAACTTTTTAAAAATCACCTAACTCAGAATTAAAATGAAACTCTCTTTCAAGGGCATATCAGCCTCATCAGCACTCTCAATTGTTGGCTGTACTCCCCCTACAGCTGTTACTGGGTCTGGAGGTGAGTTCCCTAATCCTCACTGAAGCTTCTCAGTTGTTTTCTCATCCTTAGACCCACCTGGCTTCTTGATGGGTTTAGCACCTGGATGGATCACTATTACTGGATTCATTTGTATAATACTATTGTTTTAATTCTGGAAGACTTTAATATACCCACAAACAGGCCTTTAAACATCCTGAACTTTCAGGTTATTGAACTTCTGTTCTCTTAGGAAACTTGCCTTCAACAATATTGTAACCAGTGGGTCTCATGGTCTTCCTATACACCTTGCTGCTCTCATTAACTGCAACCCATTCGCATGTCAATTGCATTCATTCCATCTCTTAGCACAATTTCATATCTTTCCAGTTTACTCCCTCATATACCCCAATCCTAACAATCTTTTAACTCACTGGGCCTGTCAAGCTATTAATTTTACCATTTTATTACTACTGTCAACCTCAGATGCCCTCTCTTCCCTTCCTAGACAGTTATGAAAATCTGTGGTGCAGCATTATCATTGCCCTCCTGCATACACCTTCTTCACCCTTGAACCCTCTCACCTTCTAATATTTGTTTGGTAAACCACAGCCCAGCTGAAATCCAATTCTCTACTCACTCTTTGTCTATACTTGTATGGCTAACATGGCTAGAGCACAATGTACCTTCAGGTCTACTGGTCTTTCTGTAAATTATTTTTCCCATGAACTTTAAGTAGGCACTTTATTTCCCTTGTCCATTTGCTTTTCTATTCTCAAAACAGACTATTTCATACCTTATTTTATCTTCTAAAACACTCACCTTGTTCTGAGTCTCACTCTTAGCTTAGTATCTTTAGTGCTACGGCACCTTGAATATAGAAAAGAAAAAAAAAAGATAACTTTGATAACTTTCAAAGACTCCTAGAAGCTAGAGGCTGATTTTCTGAAGCTTACACTTCAGAAACTCTAACCTATCCAGGTTATTTATAAGTCCCAGGAGGGGGCCTAGGAATGTATTCACATCATCATATGGTTTTGTAAAATTTGCAGTGACTTCCATTTATCAGTAGCTGTTCTGGTGTGGGAATGGCTTTCAGCAACACTCCTACTGACCATGGCACGAACTTACCAGGGCATCATGCCCCAAAGGTGCGTGGCCAATGGCTGTATCCTGATGTGAACATATCCTATAGGCCTGGCACCAAAAGTATGTGTGTGATGGAGGAGAAACAGGTTTGAAATGAATGGAGCCAGCAGCTCATTGTGGAAAATTCTCACAATCATAACAGGCCCCCGATGAGTAAAATGCTAAGTAGAAACTCAGATTTCATTAATGCTTGACCAAAACAGAAATTTTCTCTTGTCAGGAAAATAGTAATATAGAGTATACAATTATAAAAAAACCATGGAAAACCTATTTTTGGTTGTTAATAATGAAGAAACACAATAAAATTTAACAAAACTGCTGTAGGTATAAAGCTAGAAAATATGTATGTCAGCACATATTTTAGGCTTCTCAAAGTACATTGGAAGTATAAAACATGTGACCTCATACATATTTTGATGAATGCATAATATCATGTATCTACCATTATATTCTCATACATATTTTTTTAAATATCCTTTTTAAAAATCCCTTGTTATTCATGTATTCAGTGATTCTCCCTGTCCCTGAACTTCCAGAAACCACTGATGTTTTCATTGTCTTTTACCTTTTACAGAATGTCATATAATTAAAATTCTGCAGTCTAAGCCTTTTCAGGCTGGCTTCTGTCATTTAACAACATGCATTTAAGACTCATCTATGTAGTCTGTGCCATGATAGCTCATTTCTTTTTGTCAATGAATAATATTTCATTGTAAGGATGTATCACGGTTTATCAATTCATCTAAAAGAAAAGACATCTTTGTTGCTTCCACTTTTTGATGATTATTAATAAAACTACTGTAAACATTAGTGTGTAACCTTTGTGTGAACATGTTTTCAACTCATTTGGATAAATACCTAAGAGAACCACTGCCAGATTATGTAAGACTGTGTTTAGATTATAAGAAACTGTCTTGCCAAGCGACCGTACTATTTTGCATTTCCAGCAGCTATAAGTGAGAGTTCCTGCTGTCCTTCATCATGGCTTGCTGTCCTTCATCATGGCTAGCAATTGCTATTGTCAGTTTTTTGGATTTTAGCCATTCTAATAGGAGGGTAATGTTATATCATTATTGTTTCTATTTGCAAGTCCCTAATGACAAATGATGTTGAGCATCTTTTCATATGCTTATTTGCCATCTGTATATCTTGTTTGATGAGATTTCTGTCCAAATCTTTTGTCCATTTTTAAATTGGGTTGTTCTTTTACTTATCGTTGGGTTTTAAGAGTTCTTTATATATTTTTATACAAGTTCATTGTTAGATATGTGTTTTGCACATATTTTATTCTAGTCTATGGTTTGTCTTTTCATTCTCCTGTTTTTCACAGAACAGCAGCAATCATTTTTTTAATGTAAGAACAGAGTGTATATCTTGATTGATTCATTCCCTAATCTCACAGAGAAAAAGCAGTCTCCACAGTACCTGAAGTTGATTACTTTGGTATTTTGCACCTATTATGTTTTCTTTTCAAGTTTCTCTTGTTGATGGAGTATTTTAAACACATGCAAACTTGGATTTTTAAGAGTTTTTGTGTAGCAAAATGCTCTCCCATTATAAGATCTTTCAACATGATTAACAATATTTTAATTACTTCTAAAATATCTTTTTATTTGTATTTATTGTTTTAGAGACAGGGTCTCAGTGTCACCTAGACTGGAACTGTATTTTTAAAGACTTAAACAAAAAGGTCCAACAGATGAGAAATAAAAGTTGGTAAAATTCATGTAGATTTAACTCCAATTTTAAAAGATGCTTTAAAATGTTTTATAAAAACAAATGTGAAATTATGAACTCCTGATTCAAACATATAAAATGAATATAAAAGATATCTCTCTGTCATCTTTGTATTTATTTTATTAAAAAACTAACAGAATATTTAATACAAAATGAACTGATATGAAACAAAAATCAATATAAATAATTAAGAAAATAAATTAAAATTATCATAACATTAAGAAGCAAACTGTAACAAAAAAGTATCACATCAAAAGCAGTAATTTGTTAAGAGGAAAAGATAACTTTCTAATAGGAGTTATAAATATGCTCATAGACTGCTTTACAACCAAACTAATAAAGAAAGTGGATCACAATGGCAAATAATTTAAATTTTTTGCTGATTTGATAAAAAATATTGCATTGAAAATAACTTAAAAGATGATACATCTTCACAACAAGGGAATCAGACATAAACTAGTTAATGAATGTAATCAATTTTTTAAACATTTAAAATTAATCACAACAAAAGAAAATGTACACTGTCCTCAAATCTTACAGCTCATGTATGAGAAAAAAACTTTACAGAGGTTTTCTCAAATTTGACAGTTCTACAAATTTACATGATATTGCCAAAATGAGCTGTAAAGATGAAAGAAACTTTTTACAATATCAATAGTAAATAAATAAAATTGATCAATCATAGCCATCATGGTAGTATAATAGTGGTAGGAATATTAAATTATTTCTATAAAACATATTTCCATATAAAAAACTGATAAAAATGTATGCAACCACAAAGGAGAAAATAATTGTTATAGAAAATAATGGATATGTCTGGCAGTTAACTAATCAAAATATTATTTTTTAAATTATCACAGAATTTGTATTCATCAACTTCTTATAATTCATAGTTTTTATGATATCTTTCCTTCTTAAAATATTTATTTTCCTACCTACTTCTGTATTCACAATTTCTAAATTATCTATTTTAAGTAACTCTCTAAATATACAAGTTTTGAGTCCCCCAAAAAACTGAATCCACTAAAACGGATTATAAAATCTTGACTATTGCAAATAGTGCTGCAATGAACATGAGAGTGCAGATATCTTTTCAATATACTGCTTTGCTTTCTTTTGGTACATACCTAGCTGTGGAATTTCTAGACTATTTTATTAATTTACATTCCCACCAACAGTGTTCAAGGGTTCCCTTTTTCCACAACCTTGCCAGCATTTGTTATTTCCTGCCTTTTTGATGTAAGCCATTTTAACCTGGGGGAGATGATAGATCTCTCACTGTAGTTTTGATTTGTGGTTTTCTGATGATTGATGATGTTGAGCACCTTTCCATATGCCTGTTTGCCATTTGTATGTCCTCTTTTGAGAAATGTCCATTCAGATCTTTTGCCCAGTTTTAAATCAAATTGTTAGATATTTTCCTATTGAGTTGCTGAGCTCTTAATATATTCTGTTTTTCAATCTCTTGTCAGAAAAGTAGTTTTCAAATATTTTCTATTCTGTGGGTTGTCTCTTCACTGTGTTGATTGTTTCCTTTGCTGTGCAAAAGTTTTGTAACTTGATGTGATCCCACTTGTTCATTTTTGCTTTGGCTGCCTATGCTTGTAGGGTATTACTCAAGAAATATTTACCCACTCCAATATCTTGGAAGCTTTCTCCAATATTTTCTTTCAGTAGTTTCATAGTTTGAGGTCTTAGATTTGTCTTTAGCCCATTTTGATTTGATCTTTGTATATTATGAGAAACAAGAGTCTAGTTTCATTGTTCTGCATATAGATATCATTTTCCCAGCACCATTTATTAGATACACTGTCCTTTCCCCAATGTACGCTCTTCCTTGGTTGAAAATTAGTTCACTACAGATGTATAGATTTGTTTCTTGGTTCTATATTCTGTTCCATTGGTCTATGTGTCTGTTTTTATGCCAGTATCATGCTGTTGGTTACTATAGCTCTGTAGTTTAATTTGAACACAGGTAGTGTGATTACTTCAGTTTTGTCCTTTTTGCTTAGGACAGGTTTGACTATTCTGGGTCTTTTGTGGTTCTCTTTTTAGGATTCTCTTTTTCTATTTCTGTGCAGAATATCATTGGTATTTTCATAGGAATTGCATTAAATCTATAGATTCAGATAGTATGAACATTTTAACAATAGTGGTTCTTCCAATTCATAACATGAAAAATTTTTTTTTTTGAGACAGATTCTTGCCCAGGCTGCAGTGCAGTGGCATGATCTCACCTCTGCTTCTCGGGTTCAAGCAATTCCCCTGCCTCAGCCTCCCTAGTACGTGGGACTACAGGCATGCACCTCCATGCCTGACTAATTTTTTTTTTGTATTTTAGTAGAGATGGGGTTTCACCACGTTGGCCAGGATAGTCTTAATCTCCTGACCTCATGATCTGCCTGCCTAGGCCTCCTAAAGTGCTGGTATTACAGGCATGAGCCACCATGCCCGGCCAGAATATCTTTCTATTTTGTATGTGTGTCTCAAATTTCTTGCATTAGTGTTTTTTATGGTTTTTATTGTAGAGATCTTTCACGTCTTTAGGGTTTTTATTTTATTTTTACCTACTGTAAATCAGATTACTTTTTGATTTCTTTTTTAATTGTTCACTGTTGACCTATAGAAATACTATTGACTTTCTTATATTGATTTCGTGTCCTGCAGTGTTATTGACTTTGTTTATTAGTTCTAATAGTTATCTTGTGGAGTCTTCAAGATTTTCCAAATATAATATCATATCATTAGCAAACAAGGATAATCTGACTTACTCCCTTCCAATTTGGATGCCCTTTATATCTATCTTTTGTCTGATTGCCAAGTTAGAAATTCTAGTACTGTTGAATAACAGTGGTGACGGTAGGCATCCTCGTTGTGTTCTATATCTTAGAAGAAATGCTTTCAGTTTTTCCTCATTTAGTATAATACTAAATGTATTATACTAAATGTATATGTGGGTCTGTCATATATGGCTTTTCTTATGTTGGGTCTGTCATATATGGCTTTTCTTATGTTGAGGTACGTTCCATTTAAACCCAGTTTTTTGAGGGTTTTATTATGAAAAGATGTTGAATTTTAGCAAATGAATTTTCCTGCATCAATTGAAATGATTATATGGTTTTTATCCTTCATTCTGTTGATATAATGTATCACACTGATTGATTTGTGTATGTTGAACCATCCTTGCATCACTGGGGTAAATCCCACTTGGTCATGATGAATGATCTTTTTAATGTGTTGATAAGTTCAGTTTGCAAGATTTTGTTGAGGATTTTTGCATCATTATTCATCAGGGATATTGGTCTGTAGTTTTCTTTTTGTGTGCGTGCCTTTGTCTAGTTTTGGTAAACGGGTGATACCAGGATTGTAGAATGAGTTTGGAATTATTCCCTCCTCCTCCATTTTTCAAAATAGTTTGAGTAGGATTGGTATTAGTTCTTCTTTAAATGTTTGGTAGAATTCAGCAGTGAAATAATCAGGTCCCAGGCTTCTCTTGCTGGGAAATTTTTTTTATTACAGCTTCAATCTTGTTACATGTTATTTGTCCGTTCAGGTTTTGGATTTCTTCATGGCTCAATCTTGGTAGGTCATATCTAGAAATTTATCCATTTCTTCTAGATGTGTCAATTTTTGGCATATAGCTGTTCACAGTGGTCATTAATGATCCTTTGAATTTCTGTGATATTAGTTGTAATGTCTCCTTTCCATCTATGATTTTATTTATTTGGATCTTCTCTATTTTTTTTTAATCTGGCCAAAGGTTTGCCAATTTTGCTTATCTCCTCAAAAAAAAAAAACCCAGTCTTCATTTCAATTCTTTTGTATTTTTTGTCATTTCAATTTCATTTATTTCTGCGCTGACTTTTATTATTTCTTTTCTTCTACTAATTTTGTGTTTGGTTTGCTCTTCTTTTTCAGTTCTTTGAGATACATTGTTAGATTATTTCTTTGAAGTTTTTCTTCTTTTTTGATGTAAGCACTTATAGCTACAAACTTCCCTCTTAGTACTGCTTTTGCTGTATCCCATAGGTTTAGGTATGTTGTGTTTCCATTGTCATTTGTTTCAAGAATTTTTTTTATGTCCTTCTTAATTTCTTCATTGATCATTCAGGAGCACATTGTTTAATTTCCATGTGCTTGTATAGTTTCCAGAATTCCTCTTGTTACTGATTTGTAGTTATATTCCAGTGTCATCAGAGAAGATGCTTGATATTATTTCAATTTTAAAAAATATTTTGAGACTTGTTTTGTAAGCTAATGTATGATGTATTCTTGAGAATGATCCATGTGCTAAGAAAAATGTGTATTCTGCAGCCATTGGATACAAATTTTCTGTAAATATCTATTAGGTTTATTTGTTCTGTAGTGCAGATTAAGTCCAACATGGTGAAACTCCATCTCTACTAAAAATACAAAAATTAGCTGGACATGGTGGCATATGCCTGTAGTCCCAGCTACTCGGTGGGCTGAGGAAGGAGAGTCGCTTGAACCCAGGAGGCAGAGGTTGCAGTGAGCTGAGATTGTGCCACTGTACTCCAGCCTGGGCAACAGAATGAGACTCCTCAAAAAAAAAAAATTAATTACAAAAACAGTGTGGGCTTGTTTGTACTTGTCTCTCTTGGGAGGGCTTTCCAGGTATTCAAAGGAACTTGGGTGTTGTGATCGAAGGTGTATCTGCATTAGGGGGCACCCCTAATTACCACAAGCCTAATAATGCTGTGGTGTTTACAGCTTTGTAAAGGTACTGCCTTTGTGGTCTTGGATAAAATATGGAATTATCTGAGTTGCCAGGCAGAAATTCTCACTCTCTTCACTTTCCCCCAAACAAATGTAGTCTCTTTCTCTCTGTGCCGAGCCACCTGGAGCTGTGGGTGGGATCACACGGGCAATTCAGTGGTCACCACCACTGAGACCGTACTGGGTCATACCCGAATCCAGCACAACACTGGGTCTTGCCCAAGGTCCGCTGTAACCACTATCTGGCTACTGCCTATATTTGTCCAAGGTGCTAGGGTTCTACAATCAGCAGGTAATGAGGCCAGCCAGGCTTGTGTCCTTTCCTTCAGGACAATGAGTTTTCTGAGGCCCCAGGTATATCCAGAGATGCTGTTCAGGAGACAAGGACTCAAGTCAAAAACCTTAGAAATCTACCTTGTGCTCTGTACTACTGCAGCTAGGCAATTAAATCATAAGGCAGAGGACCCTCTTCCCATGGCCACAACCACCAAAGACGCTTCCCACTTTTTCCTCCCTTTTCTACAGAGAGAGGACCCTCTTCCCGTGGCCACAACCACCAAAGGCCCATGAGAAGTACAGCCACACTACTGCCTGTGTTCACCTAAGTCCCAAGGGTTCTTCAGTCAGCTTGTGGTGAATGCTGCCAGGCCTGAGACTCACCTTTCAGTGTCACGGGGTCCCCTCTGGCCCAGAATGGGTCCAGAAATGCCATCCAAAAGCCAAAGATTAAAATTGGATTCCCAAGAACCCACTTGGTGTTCTACCCCACTGTGACCAAGCTTGTAGCTAAAGTGCAAGACAAAGTTCCCTTTTCTTTTCCCTCTGCTATTCTCAAGCAGAAGGAGTCTCTTAACCATAGCCACAACCCCAGGGAACATGCTGGATCTCACCTGAAGTCAGCATATCTCAGTCTTACCCAAGGCCCACAGCATACTACCTGGGTATCACCACTGGTTATTCAGGGCCTAAGGTCTCTTTAGTCAGTAGGCAATGAATCCTGTCTAAAATGGTTCTTTCCTTCAAGACAGTGGGTTCCTATATGGCCTAAGGTGTGTCTAGAAATGTCATCTGAGAGCTAAGGTCTGGAATGGGGGCCTCATGATGCTGCCTGGTGCCCTATCCTACTGTGGCTACACTAGTATTCAAGATGCAAGACAAAGTCCTCTTTACTCTTCTTTCTCCTCTCCTCCAGCAGAAGGAAGGAATTACTTCTGTTGCTGTGAGCTGCACTGCCTGGGGTTGAGGGAAGGTTGGCACAAACACTCCCTTAGCCACCCCAACTGATGTCTCACTAGATCATGTGTCCCCTATGCCCACTGGTTTGGAGCCCAGCACAGCACTAGGGCTTGCCTAAGAATTGCAGTCCTTGTGGCTCAGATTGCTTTTCAATTTTATTTAGGATCCCAGAACACTTTAGCCCATGGTAGGGAGGCTTGCTGCAACTCAAGTTCTGACCACTGGGATGGGTTATTCCCTTCTAGCTAGAGTTGGTCTAAACCCTCCTTCTGTGGGGAAGGCATCTGGCGAGTTCAAGCAGGTTAGTTTTGCTTTCTGCTCTAACAAGGTAACCCTGAATTCAATGCACAGGCACTGTGTTTTCCCTCCCCCAAGCACTTAGATTCTCCATGCCATACAGCTGCTACCAGAAAATGGGAGAAGGATGGTGTTGACAATTGAAGACTATCTTTCCTACCCTTTTTAATGTGTCTTTCAGCGGTATGAAGTTACTATGATTGCTCACCTGATTTTGTTTCTTAGGAAGTTGTTTTTTGTGTAGATAGTTGTCAAATTTGGTTTTCCTGAAGAGGGGATGATAGGTGAAGGTTTCTATTTGGCTATCTTGCTCCACCCAGCTCCTCTACTATTAATTGAAAAACATTATATTACTAGTATCGTTTGCTACATTAAAAATTATTCAACAGAATAATATTTCCACAAATAATACTTGTGCTGTGACTTAACTATATCTGATGATATATTGCTCTTTTCAGGATATTAACAGTAACTTTAATACTTATTTGTCTATAACTACCCTACTTCAAATGAGCTCAAGTTATAGTGTATATGTGGAGTAACTAAGACTATAGGATCTCAGGCAAAGGGAAATCATATATGCAATTGAGAATATTCATATAATATAGAATATTTGCCATTTAAAATATTTTAAAATATATTAGTATAACATCCCTCTAAAAACTTTCAGAAAATGTAACCTTAAGGATCACTGTTTAAAAATAATTCACTTACTATGTATAATTCTTTAGATGTTTGATGACAAAAACTCTATAAAATAAAATTACCTCCCTCTATTCTATACTTACATTTATTTTTAAATTTAAGATTGGGTATTACTATCCTAAGTTACCAGAAAGGTTTTTTTTTCTGTAGGGGAAAATGGAGTGGCAAGTAAAGCATTTGTTCATAGCCTGTTATATTCTATATGAGCACTTTATATCTTATGCAACAATGTCATTAAATGGTCCACTTCTAACTTAGAAAGTTGTTTTCTAAGACAATAGATACATTTAATTATTCTAAAATATATATAAATTTGGAAACATATACAATAATAGCTTGAATTTTATATATTTCAACTCTGCATGGTGTAGTTTATTGAAACATCAGAAAATTCAAATATAAGTGTGTTTTTCAACAAAAATATTGCTTAATTTGGAATTTATGTAGATTAAAAAGCTGAGTTTGAAATGCCATGATTCTGTATTTCTCACAGAGCAAAACCCAGAGTTATTTACTAGCCTATATGTGGCTTTCCCCCTGGCCCCTGCTTGATTTTACTTCCTCTCACTTTCCTTTTGAATCACTGTTGTATTAGTCCATCCTCACAGTGCTGTGAAGAAATACCGGAGACTGGGTAATTTAGAAGGAAAGGGATTTAATGGGCTCAGTTCCTTACTGCTTGGAGGGCCTCAGGAAAACTTACAATCATGGCAAAGGCAAAGGAGAAGCAGGCACCTTCTGTAAAGGGCAGCAGGATGGAGTGATTGCAAGCAGAGGAAATGCCAGATGCTCATAAAATCATCAGATCTCATGAGAACTCACTACCATAAGAACAGCTTGGGGGAACTGCCCCTGTGATTCAGTTACCGCCACATGGTCTTGCCCTTGACATGTGGGGATTATGGGAATTACAATTCAAGTTGAGATTTGGGTAGGGACACAGAGCCAAACCATATCAACTATGTTCCAGCAACACTGGCCTCCTTGGATGTTTGAAACATACTCTCATCTTGGAGCTCTTCCACCGGCTGTGCCCTCTGCTTGAAACATTCTCCCTTCAGGTATCTACATGTTTTACTCTTCAACCTCTTCCAGGCTTTGCTTAAATGTCTCTTTCTCAGTGAAACGCAACCTATACACCCTACTTAAAATAGCAACCCACCCTAATTCTACCCTCAGCATTCGTAGACCAATTTAATGTGTTCCACTCTTATTTTTGGAGCATTTCTTCCCCTCTGACACAGAGGTTTCCAGCTTATCAATTCACAATGCCTTCAATAATTTTTCACAGCACCTCTGGCCAAAAGTAACATCTAATAATTTTATTTATTAAATAGGTTCAAACAATATGTATTGATGTACTAACAAATTGTTATTTGAAAAAATAATATACACAAATTGAAAGGAAATGATATTTATATGTTATTTGAATATAACAATTACTTATGAATGGGATGTGTATGGCCTTTGAACCCTAAATGGCTTATCAATGCTGGGAATCATAATGGACACCACCACCCTCACCTCTCAATGCACATTGCTTTTTGTATAGTTACTTGCTTGTTGTCACAATTACCAAAAAGCTGGTTTTGAAAAGATATGATGTCACTGAAAGAAATTTAGTATAATCTAATGTTGAAAACATGAGATTTTGCTGCTAGTAATATGTGTATTGTCTGACAGATACTGCTTTGTGATTTAGTGTGTCCTTACTGCTATAACAAAATACCGTAGACTGAGTCATTTGTAAACAAAATAAATCTATTGCTCATTGTTCTGGAGGCTCGAAGTCCAAGATCCACATTTCAGCCAAATTGGTGTCTGTTAAAGGCCCATTACTTGTAGACAATGTCTTCTCACTCTGTTCTCACATGGCAGAATTAGGGAAGAAGAGAAAGACACTCTCTTCACATGCTTTTATAACGACACTAATCCCATTCTTAAGGGCAGGGTACTTATGACTTTATCACTTCCCAAGAGATTGCACCTCTTACTACTATCACATTGCGGATTAAACTCCAACCTAGGTTTTGGGATGACATCAACATTCAGACCATAGTACTATATTTCCTTTAAAAATGTAAACAACCTGCAGTGAACCTATCATTCTGCTGTAACATCCCAGGGTGCTTTGGCACACAGTTTAGGAACCATGGTTCTAACATATCCTGTAATTAGTTCCTTATTACGTACATTATTTATTGTCTTCTCCACCATCACTCCAATAACAGAATGTCAATACATTCAGATACATTGTATCTGTTTTGTTCTCTGATATATGCTAAGCACCTTCAATAATCCTGGAATATGTAGGTTTTCAGCATATATTTGTGATATCAGTGATTACTGAGTATTTATGTTTCTTTTTCTATGAACTCTTTGTTTTACATTTTTGCCAATTTTTCTTCCAGCTCTCATATTTTTTACAGGTCTATGAATGTTTTCGTATATCTAGAAGATTATTGCTTTTGCTTATTATATGTTCATCAAAATTTTTTCTGATTTTTCTTTTTTTCTTTTGATATTTTTCAGGTAATTTTTGTTATGTAAACTTTTCTGCTGTACTTGTATAATTTTTCTGTATGGAATTTAAAAATATTTTTATAGTCAATTATGCCATTTCTTTTTTCTATTTCCTATAGGTGATAAATGTTTAAAAAATACCTTGCTCATTTTATAATAATTTTTTTCTAATTTTATGGTTCCTTTTATTATTATTATTACTGTTATTATTATTTTAAATCATTGCTTTACCAGGAATTTATTTGGGCTTTAAAATACACATCTAGCTTCCTCTTCATCCAAATGACTAGCCAGCTATCTCAACACTGCCTGTTAACTAATTGATCTTTCCCCACTGACTTGAAATAATAGATCTTCCACACACTAAATTCCTCTGTGTATTTTGGGTTTATTTCTAGAACTGTCAATTGTGTTTTATCTGGCTTTATTTTTTCCTTCTCAAGCACCAATCCGTTTGACTCACTGTGGTCTTGAAAATTGTTTTCAGTTTTGCTTCACAAATTAATGGGTCTCTAATTGGGGGAGTTGGGGAGAGAATAAACTATTACCCTTGGAAACTACTCTTTAAAAGTTAATTCCAACAAACAACTTGGCAGGAATTAGGAATCACAATTCAAACAGGATCTAAACAAAAGTTCTCTAGGAGACTTCTTTTTTGTCCATTCAAGTATTTATACCACAGTTCCGGGCATATTGTACAACACACAGAATTTCACAGAATCAAATAACTTCTAGCATTGAAAACAAGACAGCATAAATGAACGTCTTATACATGGAGTACAGAAATGAATACCAATGACTGGATTTTTTCTGTACATAACTATCTACCTGATTAGTCACTGTGTTGGCATGATCTTTTAAACATAAGGACAGTGATGTCATGAATTTCAATCTTGTCAGTGAATAGCCCAAAACCTAACAACATGCAATGAGACATATAAAGCAAAACATTAATAATCTCCTGTTTTTAATGATATATCTGAATGCAATATGTATCAACATATCTGATCAGTATAAAATATCACAGCTAAAGAGCATCATTATCTTCTATCTTCTGAAGACTCAACAAAACCTTTTTACATCTCCATGAATTCAAAGAAGTTGTATACCTACATACATATGCAGATAATTTAAGGTGGCTCTTGGGAAGTGGATATAAATAAACATTGAAAATATTAATCATGGCTTGAAAGTTTTCAATAATTTTGACACCTGATCCAAGTGTTCTCACAAGTAATTATTTCTCTCTTTTTCCTCTACACAAGTCTGTGAGAAGGAGACAGGACCTAAAAATATGAATTAAAGTGTCTCCCCCACAGCACCCCCATAAAGACATATATAAGACTTGGGCTCTTGGCCAACGACAAATACAAGGAGTTTCCTTTAATCCTGACATTGCAACATGCTTTCTTGACCTGATGGAAAAATAATTCTTGGAAACCAATCACAACAGCTCTGCTTATTTATTACTAGTGGCAAACAGATTAAATGTATAATAGTGAAAATGAACCAATTAAGGTAAAAATCACAGAAACAGAAAGGCACTATGTTCAGCCTTTGTCAAATGTAAGTGATTATATCCCAAACACTCATTTTTTAGCTCCTAATTTTGGAGGATTTTTGCTTGTGATCGCTTATACTTAGGCATAAGACTGTTTAAGACCAACCAACTGTATTATATGTATTATTTTGTTCCCAAAATTGTAATTGAAATGTCTGGAGTATTCATACCATTGAAAATATAATTCTGCCAGCACAGTCAGGTAGAAGCATTTTCAAATTCTATAGAAAATGGACAAAGCTAGGATATTTTCTGTGCCAATTAGCTGTTTTGCTGAGCAAGAAGGAAGTGTGTCTAAAGAGGGCTGAATAAGAACCCAGCGAGTGCAGTGTTTGAATGAGAACAACTCAGCAAGCTCTCTTGGGCTTTTGGCACCCATAGAGGCCACAGTAAAGAGTTCCCAGGAAGGTCATCCAATTTCAATGAACCACAGGGATTATGTGGGAGGGAAGCAGTTGTGTGGCTTGTTCCCCTGAGTACATTTCCAGGGAGGACATTTGCCAATGCCTGGCACCATAGGGCTTATAAATATTTTCTAG